TCCAGGGGGAGGGGAGGCTGCAGCGGGGTCCCTCGGCGTGTGCCGAGGGCTGTGGGTCCTGCCCCCGCCGCGTGCGTTGCCCACGGCACGGAGCGTTTGGTGACTCAGCCCAGGCTCACGTTATTTCTCCCCGTGCCGAGGGCTCCCCGGGCTGCCAGTGCCCCAGCCCCGCTGCACGGGGCTGCTGCCGCCCGCCTCCCCCAGCTCCGGCACCTCAGGGTGCTGGCACCTCTCAGCGCTGACGCGTGCCAGGTAAGTCTGCTGATGCTGTTAATGAAATCTGCAGCCTGGAGGCTATGAATTATTGCTGATTTTCTCTTTTGGGTGCAGGTGGTTTTGTCTTTTTTCCTGGGGGTTTTCACCCCGTTCTCCGAGCGGACACTGCCCTGTTCCTGCCCACCACCCTTTCTGCACAGGTCCCGCGCGCGAGGCATTGAGACCCACTGGGCTGTTGGTGAAACACAGGCAGGTCTCCGTCTGCAGCTCTGCATGGCGTGTACAGTTCTAGCAAGGAGATATTTGTAGAAACAAATCATGTTGCTCATTCCCAAATTCTTGCAAGCTCTTCCTGCAAAGCAGCACTGGATTGAGACAGGCTTAAAAAGTGGGTCAAGTGCTCTTCTCCCAGGATAATCAATGTTGGCAGGTTTCCCTGTGAACCAAATTCTGGTGGCTCTCATCTACCCAAAGTAGCAGGTGTAGATGACACCCTGGATGTGGCACCTCTCTCTCCCAGCACAGGTACGTGCACCTCCCCGTACGGCAGGGCTGGGAGCTGGAGGCACAAACTGGAATTTGTGCCCAGCAAGCTCTCCCCAAATCCGGTTGCTATGGTAGCTGGATGCGGCTGCAGGTGTACTTAAATAAGTGCAGGCTGTCGCAGATGTGTCATCTGAATATATCCCTGTCAATGCAATAGAGGAAATAGTGAACATGAAAGGACGTCTGTGCTGCCCAAAAAATAGCTGTCAGCAATTAGCAAAATTTTAATGGGATTAAAATATGCGCTGCTTCTCGTGTTACCAGCACGATGGATTCCCAGTCCCGAAGGCCGGGACCGTGCCCTCTTTCTCCTTGGAGCAGAGGGGGCCGCGGAGCAACTGAGCCCAAGCTCAACTCCTGCATGTGCTGCAAAGGGAAAGCAGAGGAGAACGATGCAATGCCAGAGCTTGCAGGGCTCAATGGTCCTTAGTTAAGTCACACTGAAGCCCACTGGGGATTTGCCCAAGAGATGACTGCATGTTTTGACCCTTTCAGCAGATCTGTCGACACCTAGTTCCTGGTTTGCTCGTCTCTGTTTGCTTTGTTGGTTAATTTAGTTTTACTGGAAAGCATAGAGGCTTTCCCAGCGGTCAGTGGCCGACCAGGAGACACGTTGGATGCAGGCAGCCCTCGAGCTCGGGGCGCTGACAAGCGCTTGCCCATCCCAAAGGTGCCCTCTGTAGGGAAAGCTCTGGCCAAGCCCTTGGTCGCCGTCTCCGCTCACGCTCCTGCGCCTTTGTTAAATGAGTGTTCAGCCTTTAAGCTGCTGAGGGGAATTGGCTCTGCAGCAGCAGAAGGCACCCTTCCACCATGCAAGCAACAGTCAGCCCGGTATTTTTTAAAAGGGAGTGGGGGATTTTGCGTGTGATGAGTTAACATTCTGGAGTGTGATAGTGGAGGTCCAGACTGCCGCTTTCCAACCTTGTGTTATCAGGAGTAACAGTCTTGCTGCAGCCTGGATCCTGAGGCTTAAACCCTTCCAGGTAGGAATGAAACGCCACCAAAGCCAAATCACAGCTTGAATCTCAAAGAATTTGCATCTCGCCAAGTGGCTGGTTACGGGCACGCCGAACCCGCGACGCGTCCGCATCTGTGGTGCGTGGCCCTGGAGAAGGGCTGTATCCAGGAGCTGGGGCAGCCAGGAGAGCCAGGTTCAGATGCT